AAGGTAGAAGTACATGCAAATAATTCTTAGTGCCTTAACTCTTCCAGTAGTTAGGGGATAACCTGTGACAAGGCACATGAGCAGGAGTTCAGAAAACACATTGTACTAATGCTGCCCTTTGTCCAAAGGCCAATATTTAAAGTCTTCAGGGTATTTTTTTTTCCTCAAAAAGAGAGAATACTGATGAGTTAGATGTGTCTCTGTTCCAGTCCATGCAGAAAAGGAGCACACAGTGATTCAGAGTGACAACATCTGGTTTGCTCACAGTTCACAGCCTCTTCCTAACAAATCCTCTGCCTAGTAGCTCTCTCAAACCATCGTCATGGAGTTTTCATTCATAGTCCTTGTCCTGAGAGTCCTTGATGTCTGTCACATAACTTCTCTTTTGGCTTCTCCTAGAGACCCTCCTTTTGTCATTATCACTGGCAAAACAATAGCCACCTAAATATTTGGTTTTATATATAATTTGTAGATGCCTTTCTGTGGATGGGGGCATGAGCCTCTCTTGGTATTGGAGACCATTGTTGTTTTGGTTACAGTGACCCATTAAGGATATCAGTGCATGAGTTCCTATTATAAGCAAAAGGTATTGGGTATGTCCAGTCAATAGTCTGCAAAAACAGCTCCAAGAAACACATGTTCATTTTGTAACATTTGACACTATGGAGGACACAGGGTGACTTGTTGACTGACATGTGATCCTTCTGGGCAACTTCTGTCATTGAGGATCAGATCTGAAAGGTCACTTGAAACTATTCTTGTCTCTTAAGAAAGTTTAGCACAAAATTAACAACCTCTGACTCTGGACCTCCTCTGTCACAACATGGCACAAGGGAAGGAGTGGCATGGTCTGTTTTTATTGTGATGTGTGCCTACACTGGGCATTTTTTAAAGTGTTTTTAGTGCCACAAAATACCGTGGTCACTAGCCCATGGCACTAAGTGCCACATCCAGTCTCACCTTGAAACCTCCAGGGATGGTGAATCCACCACCTCCCTGGGCAGCACATTCCAATGCCTGAGCACTCTCTCTGTAAAAAATCTCTTCCTAATCTCCAACCTAACCCTCCCCTGGCAGAGCTTGAGTCTGTGCCCTCTTGTCCTGCTGCTGGTTGCCTGGGAGAAGAGACCAACCCCCACCTGACTCCAACCTCCTGTCAGGGAGTTGCAGAGGGTGAGAAGGTCTCCCCTGAGCCTCCTCTTCTCCAGGCTGAACACCCCCAGCTCCCTCAGCCTCTCCTCATAGTTTTCATAAGTGATACTCACTGGCCAATGTATCCTCTCAGCTGGTGAGAACACGAAGGGTAATGTTTTACTGACAGTGTCCAGTGGGTTAGAATCATGACATATGAAATGAGTTTTAAATTACAGTGAGCTTAGGAGTGTCAGTGGCTCTAAGACTTAATAGAAGCTTCATGAAGGTTTTGGGAATCAAATCTCCTGAATTCAGACGAACTAAGTTCTTCTACACCATGTTTTAGGGACCTGCTCCTGACTCATGCTATTAGTTGCTTTCCCAAGTACAAACTAGCAGTAGTTCTAAGCCTTGGTTTCAAACATGAACTTACATTTTAGTAAAACCTCCCCAGGCTTTTTTTGTTAAAACACATATAATACTAATTTAGATGTTTGTACAGGAACCCATAAAAATTCTAGATTCTAGCACTTCTCTGGACCTGGTCACCTATGCAGACTGATACTTCACTTCATTAGTATTTGGCATCAATCAAAACTTACTAGAATGTCTGTGAAAACATAATTACGAGTGAAAATTCATTTCACAGCAGTACTAAGTCAAAAGGGACCTGCTCAGCCTTGCTTTGGCTGGTCATTAGTTTTCCAGATCAATAAGCACATAAGAATTCAATCAAATAGTACTTAGGCAGGATCTGAAACCAATTTTTTTTTAGGAGTAAGTACTTTTCTCCTAAAATTTCTTCTGTCAAGCATCAACATAGAGCACATTTTCTCAGCTAACCTTTGGGCAAAGTAAGATATGTTTCCACAGGACAGGGATTTTCATAATTGTCTTGGTAGACTGAAACAGTGCACTTCTGTCTCAATCAAGCATTGACCTTAGGGTAAGTAGCTCTTTTTGAAGATTGTTTATATACATAATGTATTCTAACTTTCAGATGCTTATGCTCAAGACAGTTCTAGGAAGTTATCCCCTGATTTTCTAAGGTAAAGGAGAGTAAAGTACAGGGCTTGATGTATGAGTCACATGTGTAGAATATTATTATTTATTCTTTGGAATAAGTTAGAGAAAGAAATAACCATTGTCTGTGTCTTAAACACCTACAAGGATGAATGAGATTGCTCTTTGTGGCTGAGCTGTGCTGGCCTCCTGTGAGACTTCAGAGGCTTTGGAGACCTTGGAGATGTGAGGAGGAGGATGGAGGGAAGCATACACCAGGCTTTGATACCCTCCCAGCCTCCATATTTGAAAGGATAAATGCATCATCCTTCAACTCAAGGGCTTAACCAAAATTTTGGGTTCTTATAAAGTTCTTTTAGCAAAGAGTAGATACTGGTGATAATCGTGTTCACTTGACCATCTCAACTGTTAAACAGGAATGTAAAAAATCCTGTCACCATAAACCCAACAGAAACAAATCAGCCAAAATAAACCAGATGGAGACACAGCTTATTTCTGTGGAAATCAATTGGTCCAGAAAAATTGCACCTTTTTTGTGCTGAGCTCTGACCTGCCCGGACAGCAGCCAGCCCAGTCCAGAAGGCACACAGCTCTGTTTGCTGAGACTGTGCAGGGAGGATGTCTCCTCCTCTGCAGCTTGTCCTGTGCCATGGACCTTCCCAGGGCTCCACACCCCTTCACTAGGCAGGGTTTATCCCACAGATCTTTCAGCTCAAACTCTGTTCCTGCTGTTCTTTGTGGTGCCTCCTCTTTTAACCTCCTTTGCTTTTCTGGGCAGCACTTCAAAAAACCCCAGAGAAGACACCTCCACACACACATCACTCCATGAGCACAGCAGAGATGTGGCAGTTCTCTGGCTTCAGAGGGAACCACATGTTGTCTCACTACCTCCTACTTCTGATGAGCAAGTTTCTGTGAAGTTCAGCCCAATACTTAATATTGCAGCAATATTAAAGTGAGAGCTCATGGGGCTGTTCCTCTGCTCTGCCTGTCACATGTTCTCTCTTGCTGCTTACACTGTGTGCTGAGCAAACAGAAGGAGCACGAGGAGTTGAAACAGAAGGTAACCAAGGTGCAAGAGAAAGGAATGGGGAAAAAGAACCCACCACTAATATTATTTCTTTCTTTCATTCCAGTGCTGTGTTTACCTGGACAAATTTATTGGTCGTTGTAGTTGAGCTGGATGGATCAGAGCAAGAAGCTTTGGACCTGGTTCCTTTGGTCACCAACGTGGTCCTGGAGGAACATTATCTGATTGTAGGGGTGGTGGTGGTTGTGGACATTGGTGTAATTCCTATCAACTCCCGTGGAGAGAAACAACGTATGCACCTACGAGATGGATTTTTGGCAGACCAGCTAGATCCCATCTATGTGGCCTACAACATGTAGTCTTGTACCTTAAAGCTTCCATGGACTTTACTATAGATGTATAAAATTTTTTGGTGTCCACTAAAAAAGTGTGCAGATAAGATGCTGACACTCATCAGAATGGAACTGTTTCTATGACAACTTTTCAAAGCAGTCACGATTGGCAGGAAATACAATGTGAAATGTTTTCTTTTACCACTAAATTTTAGAAAAGAAGGACTATGGGGTAAGGCCCTTAAGTGTGTTGGAAAAGCCCATTTTAAACCTTTTTTTTTGCTTATTGGACAATACTGCTTTTTGAGTAAATGTGGCTTTGTATTTTACATTAAGTAAGCTGAAGTAGATTTTGATTTTATTCTGCCCTCCAAATGGATTCTTTTAAAACAATTTGCATACTAATTCAAATAATTGTTTTCTTCATTTGTTTTAATATGTCATAAAAAGCTGATGAATACGGATCCGTTACTAACTTAAGCCATTTTAGATCCCACATCTTAGGAAACTATGTAGTGGTACGAGGAGAATACCCAAAGTAGCACCTTTCAATTAGAAATCTTGCAGCTTTCTGTCAGAGATGCTGAAAGCCCAAAGGCCAAAGAGCCTTTGCTGTTAGCGTTAGAATGGAAGAAATTTATAAATAAGGTGTATTTCGGCAATGAGCTTGCAAATATCTTTGTACTAAACTAAAAAGATAAAATAAGTTAACTACTTCTTCTGTAATTATGTACAAAACGTTTAATTTATTTTGATCTCTTTAGAACTATAAAAGAGAAGAAACATTCAAGAATATTAAACTCTTGAAATGTTTGCTAATATAAAAACAAAGTGTTGTATTATCTTGAGTGGATAGTATCACATCAAATATATATATATGAAATATAAATTCACTAATGACAAAAGATTTTAAAGTTTAAAATGCAGTACTTGTCACTTGCATGGTGTCTCCCACTGTAGATAATCAAATGTTACTCACAAATTTTTTGAAGAAAAAGAAAAAGCAATCCTGGATTGCTAAGTATCCCTGTCAAAAAGAATCCTCTAGATACCAGCAAGTGGAATTATTGCTGCCTTTAAGGCAGTGAATGAATTTAAGACTAAAAATGCACTACAATAATTTTCTTTTCTTTGCCATGGAGGCAACAATAAATATTCGTGCTGGCATGTGCATACACTTGTTAGACTTAGAAAAGGCAGGTTGAGGAATAGCACTGTTGTCTAGCTGCAGAACTTTGTTGCACAATTTTTTTTTCATTGTTTTAGTTGGTGTTTTTATTGCTATAAGGAAACGTTTTGGGGTTATTTGCACAGAGTTATCAATTTGCCTCTCAGCTAGGACACGTAGCTCGGTGGCCAACGCATCCAGTTTACATTTACAGGAAACGATTGTTTCGCTGGTCTTTAATTTATTCCTTAACGGAGAGGAGCTACAGTCACTCCCACCCATTGGGCACGCGCCGCGCGTCTGCTAACGAGTCCCTAAACACATTGAACCATCTGAGGAACCCATCTGCCTGCTGAAAGAACGGAGAGGTCCCGTGGTCTCCAGCCCAAGGCCATCACGGGAGAAGAGTAAGAAAACATGCATCACAGCTGCCTTCATTTTACTACCTTTGGATAAAAGAGAGGTTTGATCCCCCGGTTCTGTTGTCTTCCCTGCGCCCCGTGCCCCCTTTTTTAAAACCTTCCCCTTCCTTCATGTGGTTGTAACTGAATTGACCTGTTTGTGATCAAGAGTGGGATTTACCAGCTGCAGTCCAAGAATGCTTTTCTTATTGTCCCAAATGACGTTCGTGTGCTGGCTCTCATTACCGGATATGCATGACTAAGATTGTTGCAGGGCAAATGTAATCATGTTTATATCACGTATAAGGGAGTCTCGATGCTGGGTGTTAAAAATCTTTTTAAAAGGTAGGGACGTTTTAGTCTGCATGTACAGTACAGAGCATCTTGCCACGTCAGACACGTTTTCTTTCAGACCATCTTTTCCACCCTCACTGTCCTGTGAATAGCCCTTCTCATGCTCTGCAGACCAATCCCATACTTTGTCAAATTCATTTTCTGCTCCCTAAAAAGAATAAAATCTGTTCTTAATGGCAAGTTGTTGTAAGGTTTCAGACAAGATGTTGATTGATTACAAACATAATTGCAGTGTGTGAACTAACTTGTGAAGTCCTGCTATCGCTGATCTCAGTACTGCAAAACAGATCTTGCTGTCTTTCAAAGCATCACTTTAACCTTCACGAAGTCAACTTTGCATTTGTAGAAAATAAAAAAACTGCAATGCAGTTGTGGAACACAGTTAATAACAGCTCTCTTCTGCAACCTGTCATCTGTGGTTGTTAAATCCTGAGTTAAGAGAAACGATAAACTGAGTTTCTGGTTTTGTTGTGCAAGCAAAAGGAAGGAAACATTTAAGCACCATCAGACTGAGCAATAAAGAAGGATTGTTCTGTATTAGAAACTGTACTGTAGATAAACCATTCATGAGAATGTATAAAATGTTTGTCTTGTGACCTTGTGCTTTTGGAGTCAGACAAAACCATGTAATCAACTCAATGCACATGCACAAAAAGAGAGGGTACACAATGAACATTTAAACACAAAACTAATCAAACAGGAGCAGATTCCTCATGGTGCTTGTTTATTATATATATTTAATCCTGCTTGACACTTTACCCAAGGGAAGACTGTCCCTTTTATCAGTTGAATGTTAGCAGCGTTATTTCATAGAGTGTGGTGACTGGTTAGAGAAATTCATGTAACTCAGCCAATCACAGATTCAAACAAAAATTTTTATGTGCAAAGGACAGCAACCTTCTTGTATGTTAAACCACCAGTACGCTTTGTACATCTGTGATAACGCCTGTTTTATATTCAAATGAACAAATAAAAGCTTTTATTTTTGTTGCTCTGAAAATATCAGTTTCTTAATTAGTCATCTAAAATGGAGCTTCTGAGAGCTGCGGATGCTCAGTGGAGGAACATGGAGAGCTATACTGTAATTTTATTTTGTTTACCTCTCTTGTTGCATAATTTATTAGTACAAATCATTATACTTTTAACAATGTTTAAATACTGGTGTGGGCATTTATTGCTGAAAGACTTTCATATGGCAACAAATGTTTTTTGTGAAATGTTTTTTTAATTCTTTTTAATATATTCAAATATACTGTTCACATTTTTGCTGAAAGTGTAAAGATTATTGTAAGCTTGGTAACATTTTGTGAGAAGCAATAACAAGCATTAGTACTGTAAAACTCCTCAAATTTGTCACTTATCACTTTTGTTGCAAGGTCTTGCTACCAATGTGCCTAAGGAAGTTACAGCTCTGCCAGAGCTTTCTGCCAGTGGAAATAACATGGGTTACTGTTGGTCACACACGTGGGGCTAAAGCCTCCCTATCGATTCAGAAGCCTTAGGCAACCAGATGATACCTCTAGGAAATGGGATCTGCCTGTTTCCATTGGCCTTTTCCAAAAACACCTTGATTTCAGAGCTGGCTCCCAGCTGCTGAGTGCCAGCATCCCCAGAGAAGAGGTTTGGCCCCACCTCTGATTTTCCAGACGTGATTCCAAAGGGTGAAATTCAGAGCCCTTCTGTCTTTGGAGGCCTCTCTGAGAAGTTCAAGGTGTCAAATCCCACATTTGATGTCACTCATCACAGGAGGCAGGTGCAGGTTTGTGGAACCACAGTTTCCCTGAGCAGAGTGCAACCCCAAAACTGTGGGAAGGAGAGAGCAAGTTAGGGGTGGCAGAAGGAAGAGGATGACAGAACAGCAAGTAGTTCCTGATTCAATTTTACAAATCTTTTTATTTAAAAACAAAAAGTTTATCTTTTATGCTAATGTAATTAGGGTTTTATAAGTCCACATGTTGAAATCATTTTGGCAAACAGTGGCTATAACTCTGAAAAGCTGGTGGGGAATCTCAAAAAAAAATCTGGAGTAGGGTTAGAAGAATCATGCACAAGAACAGTACAATTTATTCATTATCAGGTTGCTACTAAGAAGGTAAGAACTGGGGGGAAAAAAGCTAGATAAAAGGCCATGCAGCTTTTCTTTTCTGTTTTTTCACACAAAGCTTTGCTTTATGCACCGTTACCATCAAGGCAGGAAGGGAGGCACATGCACTGAGATCAACAACAAATCCTCACCAGTCACACTGTGAGCAAAGTCACAGGAGAGCCAGGGCAGCCCATCCGTGGGCACACAGCTGGTTTGTGGGGTCTGGGCTGGCTGGATGGGCAGTGTGGGGAGAGTAAAGCCTACTAAAATCATCCCAAAGGGGATGGGGCCCAGAGTCTCCAGGCTAAGAGCCAACCCAGGTTTTGATTATTTTTTTTCTTTCTTTGTTTTAATAGAAGTTTTTGCTTTAAAACTGAGATCTGAAGAGGAAAAAAATGTAACCAGAGTCTACATTCTGAAAGTCGAAATTAATCATTTTGTTAATCCTAACAGTTCAACCTGAGTTATTTTTTGATACCTGGATTTTTTGATATTTGGCAGCCCACATTCCCAAAAGCTCTCACTCAACCTTAGCATGATTTAGGGTTCTCCTTTCCATGGTTTTTGTGTTCTCTTTTAAGGAGTATCACCTTAAGGCTGATCTAAACACCCTCTCAAGCCTTGCCTCATTTGTGCTGCACCTCACTAAGGTCAGCACCTTTGAAACAGCAGCTCCCACTTCCTCATGCAGCAGACCAGCATCAGCCCATTCTGCACCCTCCAGCATGTATTGACACTGGGAACTGCAGAGCATTTCAGATCAGCCACAGGTTCACTAGGCAGGTCATGCTGCATCATGCCAGACAAAGGCAGTGCCACAAATGCTCTTACACTTCTTTCTAGTCTGTGTGAACAAGGTTTTTCCAAAGCTAAGGTACTACTGTATTCTCTTTCCTTCAGGGGGAAAAAACCCCAAAAGCCATCTTTTCCCCAGGGATCCCACAAGACAGCTATTAATCATTTATAAAAATGATCATAGAATCATAGAACTTTAGGGGTTGGAATGGACCTTATAGATCATCTAGTCCCAACCCTCCCCCCTGCCATGGGCAGGGACACTTCCCCACTAGACCAGGTTGCTCAAGGCCTCAAAATGATTGCAAAACACTCTACAGTGATGGCCAGTTATTGGGTGGATCCTGAGAGCACACAGCTGATTTTGTTGAAGTTTTATGCTTTGGTAGATTGATGCTCATAAACATGTGGAGGGTGTCTGAGGAAGGGGATAAAGCTGGTGGAAGCTCCACAACAGGGAATGGCTTCCAAGTGTGA